AATGGAACAACATAAAATATTTAACATGAATAAATGTGCTACGTGTAAAACATTTGGTCTGAGCATATTTCAAATATAAAAAATGCAATCGTGTAAGTTGTATTTACCCACTCTGAAAAGTACACCAGCAAAACGTCTGAGTCAGAACTGATCGTCTTTCTCCTTTCCAACATTAACACGTATTGTTATCTCATATATGCCATTACTTTTCGTTCGAAGTAATGTTTTCATAGCTATGTCAGCTTGTTCCAATATTTCAACCGGAATACTTTAAATATTTTCCGATTTCAAACGTTTCTTATATAATACATTGTTCCCTAAGACACTAATTAGTAAAATTAATATAATGTCTCAATTACTCTTTGCGGAAACGGAAGAGGAACTCTTTACGGAAAATTAACGGAAACGAAAAAACATTGAACGTAACACATGGATGAAGGAATTGCACTCACGGTATGTAAGAAAACTGTGCTCTTTTCGCGCTCGTATTCTTGATCATACCATTTACACTATTATACTCCTTTTTATACATTCGTTTCGTTAATTACTATAATTTGAATTATTTTTCACACACACTTAATATGAGAAGAATTGTCTTCCTGGGTTTTTATTCCTTTGGCGCGCGAGGCTTTGTCTTCACGATGGAATATGTCACACTGTGTTGTTTTTCTCAGTCATGCAACCGTCTGGAGCCGTGCTGGCGATCATGCGACATCTAGCGGCACGACGAGAAAGACAAAAAACCGTGAGATGTCCCAACCTGAAGTCACGGCTTCGCGCGCCAAGCAATAAAAACCCAAGTGTAAGATGGTGGATAAAGGCGTTCTCACGGGGAAGCGAGTGTTATGATTCGAGTTTACAACAAGCTTACTTCGCCTTCAAACGCGTGGAGGAAGGAAACAATTTTCAGGGAGAGCTATTTCTGGAAGTCAACTGCTGACTCTTTCCAAGTTCAAAATTGGTCGGTAGCCATATATTAATAATTTTAAAATCTATGCGGTAATAGTTAAACCAGGGAATTAATGTATTTAGATTAAAATGAAAAATTAGAGAGCTGAAAACCAGGAATATCTAATCAGCAACAATTTTCGTGGCAATATATACTAGCGTTGTGGCCGCCTGGCTGCTCCACCCCGTTAGGAACTTCAAAGGTACTAGTATGTGGCGGCGAAACTAAGTGAGCAAAAGGGCTTGAAGAAAAGACGTGGGAACTGCGTTCGGATTGCCAAAAAATAGTAGTCATGAGATGTTAATTTCTAATAAACAATTACGTTTCTCGAAAACAAAATATGATAGCGCTAATCGGATTGTAAAATTTTGCATGTCGTTTAAAGACAATTTAAAAAACCACAAGTTTTTGCCAAATTTGCAAATTTAAAATAAAAGATTCCACTTTTTTGCAATTCTTAAGTGGTGAGGTATCCTGATGTCCCCTGAACAGTAAACTGTGAATTATTAGTTTTGCAACAATTAGCAATTTTATGAACAACTCCAAACTCTGTGCAATTCCTGCTGGGGAATGTCCCCAAATTGTCTTTGAGGTGAATATCGCAAAATAACAATTTTTACTGAATATGCAACATTATTTCTAATACCTAATTTAATTATTGCAAAAATATTATATACAGTTTCGTCGCCAAAGAAATACCTTTTTTCTCTGCTAGTTGGTGAAAGGAATGTAGAAAAATTTGCGTGGTCAGATGGAACAGCAGGCCTAATGGTTTGAATCTCGCCACGTAAAATAAGGCAATTCAATTCGAAAAATACACGATTTTGCAATGTTTGCAAATTTTATAAGCATATGAACAATTGAAATTCTTTAATTATCGATTAAATATATAGAAAACTGGATATTTGAGAAAGGATTATTTAAGAACAATAATATTGAAAGTAAACGTGTGTGAGAAACTAAAAGTTCTAAAATGAGTGTTATTTTATTTCGTGTCAACGTAAATTTCTTCAACAAAAATTGTTTTAATAGTTGATAAAAGTATGTAATCAATAATATTTCAATGTTTTTATATTAATATTCATAAAAGTGTTTCATTCCATGTATTTGTATTTGGAAATATTTCCACAACTGAAGTAGCTACGTCCGCCATTTTCTACGCCGTAATTTTGCTAGGCATCTTCTCTCCCCTTTGAGATTGGCTGCGGTGGTTTGTGAGGCTCCGCCTGCAACGTTTCGTCATGACAAAGGCTGATCATGCCGTGCAAAGGCTGAACTTACCCGCAGATAGCTCGATTAATTTTTCTTTTCAGAGCTGTACAAATTACTAATATTGAGATGCGGAAAATATCGAAAGCACTGACGCCTAGAGCAGGAGGCGCGCCCTGAAACTAGCGTCGCGCGGCTTGGGGGAGGAGTACATTATAACTTGCCAAAGTTCACTTTACGACCCTCCTATCAAGGCATTCGTTAATATTTAACGAAGGCTTTGCACCTATTCATCCGATTTGGACGACTGATATAGCATTGTATTCAGGAAGCACGTCGCCATCACGCAATAAACCATTTTTTTTTAATTTCCACCGTGAACTATGAAAACAATTTCAAGAGTGTGTCTTAGCAATTTTTTTTGTGGAAATGGGGTTTTGAAGCGTAAATTCTATATAAAAAAGAGTAAAATCGTTTGCAGATCGAAAATCGGACCATTTGTTCAGACTTTATTGGTAATGTAAATTCCCCTTTGACGGTACTGCGATCTGTTGGATTTTTGTACAAGTATTTTCGGTACATTTACCTTCACGTCGGTTATGCGGGACATGAGGTAACTATGTTGGGCCAGAAACTTTCCGACCACCCTTCGTATATGTCAATATTATTAATATTTGTTAATATTTGAATTGTTTAATATACGCGTAGTCTAAAATAAATTTTCGCGTAAATTTGAGTTAATTCATAGCTTAAGTCACATTGACATTAAGGTATTATTATAATATATTATATTATTTTATATAATATATTATATTATTAAGGTATAATTATAGTATAATTATTGGGAAATTTATTACTGTTGCGCGAATGTTTTCAAATCAGAGTCAGCCACAGCACTGGTGTTTGAACCCCAATCTGACTACATTTTTTAAAATTTGTTTGTTTTATCTTTTAAACTTTGAAAAAATAGCACAATGCACTGATTTTATTTCCAGGAAGAAATTTTCATTTAAAATTTAGAATTTATATGAAAAAAATTTTTTTTTGAAAGATGTGGTAATCCATTTGTTTGTTTTGAGTGGTGGCTGACGTGTGAGGATATTACAATATTGGGAAGTCGTTACCAATAATACGAGAAAATATATAGTGTTGTAGTACGCTGTAGTTCTTTGGGGCGTATTTAGTGATGAGAGGACCTTCCATACTACATATGGGTTTTATATGCTCATTTCCTCAATACCAACATTCTTCAATTATTAGGAACCAAATTTGCCATTTGTACTGCTGAAAACCAACGAAAATGAATTGCAAATGTATTCAACCGAGAACGGAAATAATCTGATGTATGTGAAAATGTAACACCATTTGTATTGAAAATTTAACATAGTGTCAGTTGTTAAAATATAACTCAGTTTAATCTGTATGCATTATGTCGTATTCCATTTTAGAGTACCCATTCAAAATTGTGTGTTGTCTATTCCTAATAGTTCATAGTTTTTTATAACAGTCTTGCCGATGTGTACAAAATCCAAAATAATGATTTTTTTTTAAATATTGTAGACTTTATCATCGTATTAACTCATCTCATCTAAGAGATGTTGTTATCCCAGAGTACTTTGATAAGGCGACCGTAAAATTGCCGTCAGCTTTGAAGGTAAGAGTTTTCTTTGCTTTTCGTTATTCAATGAGTTTTAGAAATAATTATCAAATCTTCATATGTATGTTTTGTAGCAATCTTTACATTCTGAAGACGTCACTAAAACGGAGGAGGAGAGCCCTATCAAAAATAAATTAAGAAAAATAATACACGAGGTAAGATTTAATAATTCTTTATTGTGTAATTCCTTGAAAGCGACGCTTTTTGGTGGCTTTTGGTTATAACGGTTAGCATATCTGTTATACCCAAGTTTGCGGGTTCAAACCTGATCGAAGTCGTGGAATTTTAAGGGCGAAAAACCTTCCATCGGGGGGCAAAAAAGGATGTTGTTTAATGGTGTAGATTTCCTGCACTTTATTATTATTATTATTATTATTATTATTATTATTATTATTATTATTTGTTGCGTCTATACACGCAACGCGTCTCCTAGCTCCGAAGAGTGTTGAGAGCACCTTGTAGTAATCCTTCATTAATTGCTGTTACAGGAGTAATCTTCCTTTATTATACACCCAGCACCATCTAGGGTCCGCTGAGTATTCAAGTCATGTAATTCGCAGTCAAGTCGGGAATCACCGATAGGTAGCGATTTCGCGCTCGCCTCGCACACGCCCTGCGTGATCTACCTATCGTCCGGAGTGTAAGGGTCAGACGATCTCGGGTGCTTACTGCACGCGGTCCGCCAGACGGCGACCGGTTTAAATTTTGGCGTCAGGCCATGTGACGGTAATTGTAACGGGACGGAAGTCCGACAGCTCGCATCACGCGTGGCTTTTTTCTGCGGTAAAGCAGGGTACTGGAAGGAAAAGGTTGCCGGAGTGTTTAAATTTAGCAATTTATTGTACTGGTCTGTAACTTTTCAATATACTATTTTTATTTTTGTTATTTGAATTTATTCTCATTTGACTACGTCACAATATGTATGGGTGGGAGAGCGCGTGAGCATGCCAGTAAACCAAATATTCTTGTTCACCTGGCATCGTCAGTCACTTGTGAAGAGGCGGTTACACGTTGCCGGTCTCCACTTACCACTTGCGACCTCAACTGGCACGTGTACTGGCAACGTGTAAATCGGCCTAACGTGCAGAGAGGGGCGTGATACAGCAGGCACGCTAAGAACACGAAACACAGAATAAGCAGTATTAAAATATCGACTGTCTCTCTCATCTATAGATCGTTCAAGCATTTGATTACAGAACAGCGCTTATGGAGAACAGCGTTGCCACTTCTTGAGCTGGATACTCAGATTGACGTGAAATTTTATCAGATTGTTCAACACCTTTCAGAATCCATAAATATTGTTTTTTATCTGCTATGAAGCAATGCAAATACTGATTTTGCGACAATTCATGACCGGCTGCCTGTCGAAGCGCAGAAATCGTCCTGCGCCGCCGCTATCTCCCTATCTGTCGTCAGGGTCTCGGGTCCCTCGAAGGGCATCAAACAGGGTGTTATAAACAAGTGTTCATATTGAAGGTTCGGAAAGACAAGGTTGAATTCATGAGTAAATAATCCAAACACAGTATTGTAAAAATACGAGTCCCAGAAAACGATATCTTGATATGGGGCAAATGGATGATTTTTTAATATCAAATTATATATATATATATATATATATATATATATATATATATATATATATATATAGTAACGTTTCTCGGTGGTGAATTAAAACCAACACAATCTTTAAACGAAAACATTTATTCCTAAAGTATTATATGCTAAAACTACTTGATCTATTTACACATATATTCTTGTGATCTTCGCTTAATTATTTTTCTTACACATGACTCCGTTTTCTTGATTATTTATTTACATAGTTCGCTTCTTCTGATTATTCATTTACATTGTTCTCTACTACTTACACTGGCTTTATTTACACTGATCACTTCTACAGAATCATACACTCCGCTGTACTGTCCACGGTCCACCGCGCAGACCACAATACTCTGCGCAAACCACAATTCCCTGCGCAGACCACAATTCCCTGCGCAGACCACACTTCACTGCGCACACCAGGGTCCACTGCACTGCTGTTTACCGCGATGCCCACGATGCCCCATAGCTCAGCTTCCACTGCAGACTTCAAACTGCTGACTGCTGTTTCCCCACTGCACCACTGTTCACCGCAATGTACACTTTACAGCACCGCTTCCACTTCAGACACTCTCATGGACTGACTTCTTATTCACTGATTACATACACCAACTGATCCGCGGCTGCTTACTTCCGACTACTACTTACACTGGCTTACTCTGACACACATACACCGACTTACACTAACTTACACTGGCTGAATTGACTGCTACTTCTTACTGACTCGCGGCCGCCGGCAGCGGCGCATTTATACTTGGCCGGCGCTTAATACAACCAGCACATTCCCCACCTTTCCCCGCGACACGAATAGTGTCGAACCGTCCAGTTCGGGGGGAAGGGAAGGGGCACCGGCAGATGCAATCCGCGCACAGCGAATCCGGCAGGTGATGCAATATTCGTTTCAATATGTATATATATTATATTATATTATATATATATATATATATATATAAATGTATATTATATATATATATATTATATTACGGGCACGTCACGTAATATTTGCACCTCCTACAAACTTTTGGGACGTTGAAGTTATTGCAATGCAGTTTTTCACAGAAGTACATGAGGGAATCTCTTTTTATACTCAATTTCTAAACTTTACTGATGGCGCTGTGAAGAATCACTCGACCCATAGCGTCGTCCTTCCATCATTTCTGGATTTGACGTTGAAGTCGTATCTGCACACGGTTTTGTTTACTGTCTGCGTCCTACTTCCATTAGCTGTCTACGTTTGCCCTTCAAAATTCGCATCTACAATCACGACGTATCCTAACTTATTTATATTTATGCAATTCGCGGATGTACATCTTCCGTCTACCAGATCACACGAAATATTTCTCAGAACATTCTCGGCGACACGTTTTCAGTCGACCAAAAACGAAAATTCCAGCCCTTTTTACACCATGTTGTTGGCATGGAATCTATCATCCCTCTTGTTTCTTCTCCTGTCAGTCTAGTCTTTTGAATGTTTTTTAACAATTAAATACGTCAGTTTTTTTTTGTTACTGTGACGTGTCTTAATAAACCGCCATAAAGGAGACAGAAATCACCCCTCACCGACTCCTTTTCTTACAGTCACTTCCCCAGTAAGATGCTGATCAACTTGCACACGAGCAATATGTCCCCAATATAAGTTCTTTATAATACGTTTATCTTTTAAGACCAAATTATTAATGTGCATGTAAATAAGTATGTGCAAGAGTATCATGTTTTCAATTATTAAAAGCTTTTTTTTAATCTATGAAACGACAACACATCTGGACTTTTATCCAAATTAATTATCTCGACCTTAATTATCCGAAATAATACTTTTTAATTCATATACGTCTTTTAAAAAAAGTTCAGTAGCATTTCTTGTGACGATTTGTCTACAATTGAAGTTGTTGACTGGGACGCTGTCTGGTGACGGTAGCACGCTTTTGGAAATCAAAGAATCAGCAACAAATGTATTATTGGTGAGCTAATCTTAAATCGAGAAATCAACTTGCTGACTTTAACAGTATTTTTTTTCTTTTTGAGATTGTTCTTCTCTTTACTATTTGTACTTTTATTATATATGTTAGTTTTCTCTTGCTACTCCATCAAGTTTAATTTTAAATCCACCGTTCGATTGCTAAATAACGACTTTTTACTTGTGACTTTGTACAGAAAACAACATTAAACTTTGTACCGTCTTAGGAACAATTACAATAACTTTGTGTACCTACTTATCATACTTGAATATTCTTGAATTATTTATGTTCTTTACGATTTGAAAATAAAATGTCACATTTAATATTAATCACTTAGAATATTAAATTAAAATTCAGCAGTTATAATATGGAGAAGCTTTTAATGTGTGTTTTTTGTATTTCAGACATGCACCGTTATGTTAGAACCCAGAAAATAATTTACTCAAGAGAACTTGATATCAGATTTAGTAATTTTTTGTCAACTTTCTTAACAAATTCAGTGAATATCATCAAAACAATTTGCAGTATACAGTGAGAGAATACAATGTCTATAATTATGTTAATCAAATTATTATATATTTTTTTTCTTCATGTCTCTAAAATGTAATTTCACAAAAGTGTTGTGAGAAGGTATAAGTAGTACAATTCAAGTTATGTTATGATAGTTGTTTATTTTTGCTTTCTTAATTGTCTTTAAAATGTTATTTCACAAAAACTTCTGTATTTGTAGAATATGAGAATATTTATTTATCCTTTCTTATTCAATTGAATTGTTTTATTATTCTCTGAAGAAATGTTCATTGTGTAATTTAAATATAAATGCTCCGGTTTGTCATGTTAATTTCAAAACAATGATTAAAGGAAGCATAAGTATGATTTAAATGTCATCAGTTATTTAGGACACTGTACCTACAGGTAAAAAGTTACCACGCAATATCAACTGATATCATTTACTATTTTTTCTTTTTGTGAAATCCATATAAATTACTTTTTTTAATCCGTTTGAAGATCTTAGTGGAAAAAATCTTTATTTATGTGGCCCATTTGATATTACAGTAAATTAATAAACCCAATAATGCTAATCTGATTATACATTTTGTTTATTGCAGAATAACGTACTTGCCCAGAAATAATTTTTATGGGTTTTACTGTCTTCACACCTTAGATCATAGCAACCTGTCTTGACACTTGTCATGTCGTCGGGTGCGAGTGAAACACAAGACACGGGGTTATGTTGTGGCGTCTTTGCCGGGGCAATAAATCACAAGACGTCAACGGTTTGTAAATTATTAAGTATTATTTGAAAAAAATTCTCCAAACCTGAATACTATTGTACAATAATTACAATAAAAATATGGAACCGTTACTAGAAGGAATGTTCCTGGTTCACCACCACCGCTGGGCCTGATAATTAAATATCATATTCGGTGTGATGCACCAGTAGCCTACGTGAGCATACAAGCGAGTATACAGCACCTCCCCGTTCGACGTAAGCACGCCGGCTTCAGTTCCCTGCTTCAGTAGCCTATGCATTAAAATGCAGCGCCGCGCACAATCCTCACGACTTCCTACCGACGCGCCCAAGAATCAGAAGAAGGAGTTTATGTCCGGGGTCCGTTTATATTACCTTCTGGACCGGCTGACAGAACTGCGACATCTCGCTGTTTACGCCGACCTACCCTGTTTCCGCCTGCCTACAGTGTTCCCAAGTTGCCACCCAGACACGGCACCCCTTCCCTTCCGCACCCTTGGTTTACCATTTTTCAGCTCAGCATCTCTTCCGCCAGCGTTGTCCATGAGCATGAAATGCACGTGGCTGATATTTGGTACGTTTGTACAAGGCGACTGATATGACGCCACAATGTATAGATTTATATACAAGTTTCTCTGTAATTACACTCCTGAGGACCTAGCGCTGCGCTCCCAGCACTGCACATCCCTGACGCATATCCTCATCCTGACGCAGACCCTAGCGGCTAAATTAGCGTTGCTCCTGGTCTCTCGTCCCGTGGCGAACAACCACACCTCGGAGTCCGAAGCTAGCGATAACCCCTGGCGGGTGACAAGTGCTTTCCGCTCCGCGATTCGGTTCAAATTCGAATGACCCCGGCTGTTAACTCCCCAGCTGCCTCGCGAGGGATCACATGACAGACCTATGCCGGCGGCATCATCTCATTATCGAACCCTGGGCCTGGTTGTAATTTATCCCAGCTGCCCAGCGTCTGTTCTCATCCATCATCTCCCTCTACGCCAGTTGACACCCGGGTTCCGAGACACGCCCCGGCCCCGTCTTTGGTGGCCGTGCGTCTGCCGGCAAAGGACTGCCCCCGCCCCCTCGCCGGCCACTCGACATGTGGTATCCAGCGGTCACATTGGTACTTACACAGTATTATACTGACAAGTCAAATGAAACTAAGAATAGATAAAATGACAAAGACTTTCTCGTACAACGTAATGATTATCCTATTCTCTTGAGGCTGCACTAGATTTTCGATTTTGCCTCCACTCTCTTCCAACTGCCATCAATTGGCTTCTAAAAGACCTACAAGAGCCTCTCGCTGTAACTATCGCTCCTCTGCAGATATTCTCTGTGAAGAGCACCAGCGCGCTCTCTCAACATGGCAAAGACCCATATTGGCCTTTACTTATTTTCCCTCAGTTGCGGCAGGTGCCTCAACAGACTGAAGGTTGCGCCTCCATCGAATGACGGAAATTTAATTTCCAAAATATAATTTTTACAAATATTATTTCCAAAGTATAATAAAATGTAAGCAATTCAACTAAATTAGAAATTGAATAAAAGTCTGTATTGAAACATTACTTACGTATTTGCAAGCGTGGCATCCGTGACAGGTATTTACACCTTTCGCGCCCGTGATATTGACGTTGATTTCCACTGATCACTTAAGTTTTAGTATTAGTTTTGCACTGAGACAATTGACAGTAAAATAATTCATACAAACAAAAAAGATTTTGGTTTCGAAAATACGGTGATCGACTCGAGTACATTGCAACAAGCACTATTGTTTGACTGCGATGGTGCATCGATTAATTTCCATACTTATGTCCCCAGAAAACACAAAAAAGGAAATAAACACCATACAACATATAGCCAGAATGAATGGATACGACTGCAACATGATTGACAAAATTAATTATAAAAAAACAAATACACTCAACATACCGCAAACACACTACCCTCACACTAATTGACAGAAGCACTACCAGCCACCTACCTCACAATCCCTTAGTGTAGGACCCCTTTCTCTTAAAATAGCCTCCACCCTCAAGTTAAATTCTGGTTCTAAAACTTCTTTCAACAACACTCATACATTTATATTAAAACACTATCCAACACTAAGACGCAAATCCCACCACATCCTTATGCGGAGTCTATGCTCTCACGTGCAAACAATTGCAAATGCATATACTGTAACACCTCCACTCATCTCCGGCGAAGTGAAATGCGCGGTTTGAGCGCCCGGTTATAGCTCAGTGTCCTATTCCCTTTACTCGTGTAACTAGCCAAAATCGGTAACAGTTTCCTTTGCTTCATTTAAAAACTAGGTTGATGGAAGGAATTATTAACGAAATTTAATGGATATTCAAAATAAACAATTTGATCACTTCTGGTAACGAAGACAAAGTTTATTCCTGGACAACTGTACAGGGAAGTTACTATTAATTAAAATAAAGAAAAGGAAAGATTTGAATAAAAAGAAAGAGAAACAGAGATTAAATTGAAAGGAAGGCTTACAACAGAGAAGAGATACAAATTATTTTAAGCTAGGAATTTACAGCGTAGTGTCCCTGGCCTTTCTTGTGCCTTGGCGCGGCACCGCTTTGGACAAATACTTCAAAAAGGTTCTATTGCCCCCAGTTACATGCATGAGCGCACTTCGTGGCAGCATGTGCTATCGAGGGGGCCTGAGGGGCGCGGTTAAGCGAACACTTCGCAGGAATTCGTTCGGGGCCGCACGCCTCACCAACGGCGGCTGCGGCGGTCAGTGCGTCTGCTGGGCCGTCCGTGGAGTCAGCGATGGTCGTCTGGAGGCCGCTTCGGCGGAACTTTGTAGATAATCGGGGTATATCGCCCCCGATCGCAGATGCGGAGCCACCACAACAATATCTCCTCTGTACTATGCGAATCCTCTCAAGATACAAATTCAGAAGTTGCGAAATCGCATGTAGGCGAATACGCAATACAAAGGATTCGCCAATTTACTTTTGAAGTGTTTTGCACTTCTCTAAAATTTCCTCACTGGAAATTCCGGTTCTATCACCCAGTGATTTCAAACTAAGTGCTTTCCAGGAGGCACACTCGCCTCTCCCCGCGAATAGCTTGGCTCCACCCCGAGAAAGTCTCTCTACCGACTGAAATTTTAACAAAGCTTCTTCAGAGCGCACTCGCCTCCCCCGCGACTGGCTCCCACCCCAGAGAAGTTTCTCTCCAACTGAATTTTGTTTCTCATAATGCAACGAGTAACTTTTAATCCCCCCCTCATCCTCATATGTTCTTGCTCCCTACAACGACGCGTCGCTATGCTAAAGGTGATGGCGTTGTTACACTAAAATTTTGGCCAATAGGCTTCGCGCGGAGTATAGGAATTTTCCAGTCTGGTTTCTGTCTCCGTCGGAACATTAGTGTCCTTCTCTGTCGCCCTCGAAAGTAGGCTAGGTCTCTAAAGGGGCTTCCCAGCTACTGACTTATTGCTTCGGTTTCCCGATCACGATGACAGGCGTTTTCGGAGTATTTCCAGATGTGGGCGCCTTACAAGTTACCTTTCTTCGGCCGTTGCGGTGAGGTGTCATCAACATTCGAAATTGGTCAGGGGTCGTGGCTAGTTGGCAAGAAGGGGGGCGCGTGCACGCCCGTATGTTTTCTTCAGTAAAATATTTCTTAGGTCTACTTACTCAATTTATCTTAATTCATTTACCGCTACAACACATAGAACAAACAGGCCGGTAAATTTACACAGAGAATCAAGAACACGAACAAGCATGGAAAAATAAACACTACCATAGTCTCACATCTGTTGCGGATCAACCTTAAATTTAAAACAACATTTGATACAATATACAAATTTCCGAATTCTAGAAATTGAAAGCAGGTACTGAACAGAATAAGATTTAGAAGCCACTACACATACAAACGTCCTCAAAAACAGAACATGAATGTCTTAACAACAAACATCCCTTGAACTCTCTTCACCTTTGCTAAAATTAGACATAGTGTACAACCCCTTAACCCACCCAGCCTCCCTACTTCCACTTGACCTTCGCTCGCCGACCGTCTGTCTCAGCCTCCTCCAGCACCCCGCGTTTTACGAACCCTCAACCCGCACCCCACCCTTCTTCCCGCCCCCACCGCTACCGACCGGCTGTGTTCTTAAAACAGACACACAACTTCGCAAATAATTCGCAGAAACTGAGTTTTCCGAGCCCGGAAGCTGCAAAGGTAGGTACGACCCAGTTTGCTATACGCATTCTTGCATACAATAAACAACCAACCTGTTAATATATTTGTATTTCAACACTTAGCTCTGAGGATGATCGCTATTGGCGATCGCAAACGATCATAAGGCTGAAATAAAATGTATGATTACCAACAATATATTTAGTTTATCAAAATAATCTATCAATTTTAGTATGTTCTCCAAGCCATATAAAGTAACTACTTGCTTGAGAAAAGTTATTCACGGCTTCCCAAACAATTTGTACAGCAGTAAGCCACACAAGTAACCATGACTGTTACGAATCTGATCAACGCTTTTAAATATTAAAAATACGACAAATAACACACCTCAACACGAAGACGCCTACAAGTGTTTTGGGCACAACAATATGGTGGATCGTTGCTGAAATACAGAGGGCGCTGCTTCAAGTTTATAATAACTAAGAAATGCGCACAAGTGTGCTTGGAATTTATAGTTCAGTCTTCGGACCTGAGCTCCGTAATTATTTTGTTTTCCTTGCATGAAAGCACGTGATATTTGGGACACATCGTTATCGTTTGCTCACTTACGGAGCAATCCGCGATTGTGTTGCAGTTTATGGTGGAACCGTGCACCGCTGTTTACTACACTTCTCATTTCCTGATTTGATTTTGTCCAACTCATGTCTATCATAGCACTCGTGAGTAGAAAAGTTCTTCTACCTCTTCTCTGTGTCTTTTCGCTAACAGTTTGGTGTATGCTGTGGTAGATGGTAGTAATAGATCTTAGAACCTCAATAAGGAAGGATTCTCTGGTTACCTGATATACATGCCTGGATGGCATTTTGATACGCCTAGTACTTTCTTGAGGTATAGTGCCTTGTTATTTCTAATACTTTCAAATCTCTCAGCTTCAGGAGTTCTATTTTGTGGATTCCGTATGTTAGTATGGGTACTATCTTTATTGCTGTTTGTAGTGATATTTCTCTTATTTGTCTGAAGTCTCTCATTACTGCTATGGCGGTGATTGCTTTTAGTGTTGTTATATGTTTATTGAAAGTGGTTCCTGATGTTTGCATGGTAATTCGTAAGCATTTGCAGTCATTAACCACTTCGAGTTTCTCAGTTCCAAGTTAGAATTTTTCTTTCTCAGCTACCTTTCCCCCTCTTCTGAAGATCATAATACGCTTTTGCTGGTGTAGATTTTAAGTCCGCTTTCCTCGGCCAATGTCGCGAGTTTGTTTAGGATATTTTGGAAACTGCCATGTCAAGAGGATAAGGCCCTGCCCTCGGCAAAGAGGTATGCTTTGGTGCTTCCTGTGGTTACCGCTTGTATTATATCAGATGTTGCGATGTTACTATTATCCACGCACATTCTCTTGAGCCCTCACTTCACTAGTTACGAGAAGAGTGGGGAGTTAGGTTATTTTCACAAAAGGAATTCAGAAGGAGAGAACATTTTTGGTTATCAGATTTTGTCTACGACGCTCGTTGCTGTTATTTATTCTTAATTTAACTAATGTTCGCAAAGGAGTGAGGGTAGATATTTCGGGGCTCAAGAAAATGTGCGCGTATAATACAGATGACTCAGAGGGGGTTTCCTTGCAGTATTCCGTTTGTTTCAATGACTGCTTTGGATCTTTCAGTATTAATATCTATGGTGATGGTGTTGTGTTTTAGCATGTTTATTGTGGTGATTGCGCGGTAGTTTTTGTCCAAGCATTTCCTCCAGTTTCCCTTTTATGTTTTCGCGAAGTATGGAATCAAATGCATAGCTGTAATCTATGAAAGCTGTGTAGTTTTCCTTTGGGTAGCAAGAGGGCATCTTGTATGCCTGCTTGCAGTGTTGATCGTCCTTTCCGGTATCCAAATTGTTCTTCTGGTATTAGGTGGTCTACTTCTTTAGTAATTCTTTTTGTGATTATTTCCGTGAGAACTTTGGCAATGGTGTTACTCAGGGCTATTCCTCTGTACGAGTCAGGGGATTTTGAATTCCTTTTCCCATTGTGTATCAGTTTGATGGAGGTACTCCAGCTACTAGGGATTTGATTAGTTTCTAATCATTATTGAATAGTTCCTTCCATGTGTCAGCTAGACCGGGTACGGCTTCTTTTGAATGTTTATTGTACCTTTTGTCTGGTCAAGCAGCTTCCCCGGCTTTTAATCAAAGAATTGTCTCTGCTACCTCATCTGTTATTGGGTAGAAGTTTTCTGTTTTTTCTTTGTTATATGCTTGCTCTGCGTTATCTATGTTGAGAATAGCTGTGAAATATTCTTCCCATTTCTTCATTTGAATTGCCTGAGGGAAAGACGTTTTCCATGGTTGCAGAGTTACGAATGGATTTCTTTCCGCTAAATGTATAATTATCTGAGCTTCTTGTTTTGTGACTTATTTTCTTTTCAGAAGCGTTTTGTATTATTGTAAGACCTTTTCCCCTCCTTGAAGCATTCAGCGTCGAACCATGGTTTCGATCTTTCCTTTGTGTCTCGTACTTTCGCGGATTTCATTATTTGCTCTATCCGCGTTGTTGCTTCTTCAATTTTCCTTTCGTTAATTATTTATTTTATCTTCGTTTTTGAACTCTCATTTTTTTTGTCAGATCCAGTTGTCTTATTTTCCCCTGTAATTTTATTTGGCGTTGTGATAGTTTTTGTTTCTAACGTTGTGAGTACTGGTATGTTTTCTAAATGGGTGCCGTATGATGGTTGATTGTGTAGATTTAGCCATTGCTTTCGTTCTTGAGTTCGAGAATATCACATCTATTGTGCTTCTTTCGTTGCGGCATATTTACGTTGGGTATTTAGAATTGTTCATCAGTTCAAAACCTTGTAGGTATTCCAATAGAAGCTCTATTTTGTCTTGCTCCATTTTTGGAAAGTAATAGTGTTTGTAGTATTTGGTAGTATTCTTATTGGCGCTAATGTGGGCTTAAAATAACAGGATATTCCACCGCTGGGTCTTCCTGCTTCTCCTTGCGTTGCTGAGCTGTGGGTACCATAGTATCCATGTAAATCTATTCACAAATGTTTCGGTTAGTATTAATATGTCGTGAGTTTGAATGTTGATAGGTGAGTTTCTTTGTATGCTTTCCAAACCTTCTACGTTTCATAGGAAGTTGTTCCACGATTTTGGTCTTATAAAGTAAAGTTGTTTTAAATGTTGACATTCTCGTCAGATACTACGAAAAATGTATTTCTTCACCAGTACACCCGTTGGCCAGGCTTCTGCCTGATTGATGATTTCCAGTGTCTTGTGATATGCCGAGTTTGAATGCTTTTAGTCTCCTTGGTGTGAAGATCTCACATCTTGCGAATCCATTAATCCCCTTTTTCTGCACGTAACTACTTTTCATTTACATTCATCACGTTTACTTTTTCCGCCGTGGTTGTTAAAAGTTATAGTTAACGTATAGAGTCAAGTTAAGAGGATGGTTGTCATGAAGTCTTCTAAAGTAGCCACGACCTGCTTGGATATCAGTTGCCTCTATCATGTTTCCAATTATTATTTATTCTCTTGCTTCCCCCGTCTGTCTTCTGTGACGGGTTCCTGCGCCTTCGTAGACGTGATGTTTTTGATATTTGTCTCCTGCTGGAACCTTTTCCCGATATCTCCTTTTGTTTCCTCCCTATCTGGATCTCTGCTTCCTCTCTGGTGGCTATTTTTCTTGCTTGTGTTATTATGGTTGTTGTATAGGTGCCGTTGCCGGTGATTGTTGTATAAATGATATTGCCCCGGTTAGTTGCAGTTGAGTTTCTAGGTCATTTTTTGCATGTTTCACCGATGTCTAATTTCCTGTTTAGCTCACTACAGGTTTGTTTGGTTTCATTTGGTGTTGTTTCTTTAATGTTTTTTTGTTAATTATTTCTAGCTTGCAATCAGAGTATAGTCATGATAGTTTATATCTGCTTCTTTTAAGCATCTGGAATTCGCCCACTGTGATGTCCGCACATTTGCAGTGTTACCATCTGAAGTAATACTCGCATTCCACAGCTTCATTTTCTGAAACCTTTAAGTAGCAGATGTTGCATTGTGCTGTCTTCCTTACTCTTATTTTCTTCTTTGTACGTGGATTTAGTTTGCGCCATATTTACCTCGTTTTATTTTTCATCACTTCTGAACGTATCTTTCTAACCTCATCTCTCGCACTGGTACATTAATGCTTCACGAGTTTTCAATACTCTATTTGGTCTTACTTTAATACCGTTTGATTATGGTGGTATTAATGTTTATACTCACTCGTCCTGGTATAGTACCTTCACCGAGTCGCTGCGCTACTCTATAAGTAAGTATAGTTTCAACAGTGATAAGTAGTTGTCTTGCTCACACACAGATACTTTTTTAGAAATGAGGGGGATTTAGCAAAATTTCGTAAAATTTCCTTACTCATAATTCGCTTTTAACTAGGGCTATTATATCAATAAATTTTCCTGCGTGTTCATTGGCCAAAAAATTATTTTCGATTCCTCCACATGCCCTACAAGTTAACATTTATTCTCAGTCACGTTATAGTACTACCTATATTACTAGACTACAATAACAATATACCTTAGATGTGTAGGTAAGAAAGGAATGATGAAATGAAAGTAATCCATGTAAATTATACAATGATCTTTATTCCATGAAACAAGACGGCCATTAATAGAAGTAAAAAATATAGTTTATGTAAACATTTTAATATTAGCAATGTACATAATAAATATCACATTTCATCTTAGTAATTCAGGGGTATCACACAATGCAATCCAGAATTTCCTGATATCAGCAGAGGAATACGACATTCTCTTGCAAAATTGACTCCAAAATCTTATTTGTGCCTCAGCAAATAGTTCTGAAAAATGAAAATGTATAGCAAATAAGTATTCTCAATATTTTGTGCTGAATAATTACATAAAATTAATGCTAATTTAATGCTGCTCTTCTCGTACTAGGTCTGATTTCTTTCGTACCGGGGCGTATTTTACTTTCTCGTATACGTACTTATATAAGGAGTAATATTCGTAGGATAAGGAAAGTTATGTAAAGATGCGGAAAGTCGATTTCGAGATTTCAACAGAAATACACGTTATCGGGTTTCCTGATACCGAAAAAGTGTTATATTTTTAAAACGTCCATCCGTCTGAACACTACCGTCGTAGGAGTTTTTTAAAAATGAATATTCCTCGGTCGATCTGGCTCGACTCGATGTGCTGCGATTCTGAAGAACTTTCTTTAAAATGAGAGGGTACTTTGAATTTGGGGGAAATTTGAGGGGACATGAAGTCCTTGAGACATCAAAATTTTCTCAAAAACGGATCCACTTTCTTTTTTTAATTTCTTGCAAGAATAGAGTGAAATAAAGGTGGGATAGATCCGATTTTCACTGTAAACCCTGAATTTTCGAAAATTACATTTAAATTTTTTCGGCATCTTCCTAAAACTACAATTGTGAAGATTTTCTTTTTTTCTTAATGAAACGTGTTCTTCAATAACAGATCTTTAAATAAGGGAAGTTCAATTTTTCAAATACATTGGTATTGTTAAGGAAATTTTCTGTCAAACGGGAAATTTTTTAAACTACTTTTTCGTAAAAACTGGATAACATTTTTTATTAAACTGGGAACTTAGCACAATGGACGCTTAAAAAATGGTACAGGTCTCAAGTTAATTAAAATGCGTTATTTTGCGAAAATTTCGGCACCTTCCTACAACTACAATTGTGAAGATACAATTTTTTCTTAATGAAATGTATTCATAAAAATGAGATCTTCAAATAAGGTCTTGTTGGTTTTTTTAATAAGAATTTTTTGTGTAATTTCTCGTCAAATATAATAGCCCGTTCGAATTTAGTGCGCGTCTGCGGCGTCATCTTGCAACTACAATTGTGAAAATACAATTTTTTTCTTAATGAAATATGTTTATCAAAAATAGATGTTTCAATTTTTTGAAAATATGAGTATTAGCGGAATTTACTTAAGTAAGTTTAGAGTTTGAATATTATTTAAATACTTCTTTGTTTTAGCGTTTCTACATTCGACCTTTTTGTTTCCACACATTAATATTTTATTTAAAACCTATTTGAAATACATGAATAAAAATTGCTAGTCTTCAGGCTCCCCCTCGCAATTCACCCAGTTGGATGCTACGTAAGTTAGAATTTGTACATGATTTCATATTACTTTGTATATTTATGTTATTTCATTTTATATTGCGTTAAATGTGAAAACGAATAGATGGGCGGTTATTGTTGATTGTATCGCAGCACTGATACCAGAAGGCGATGACTGCTACCTTTCGTTCGCGGTAATATAAACTAATACTTTTATATATTTATAGAATTTTTTTTTTTTTTTTGAAAATTTTGAAAATGCCCCAAGGGCTTCATGTAAAGTACCTCCCCCAAATTAAAACACTGTTTTGAAATTCAAGGGGTCGCGACATCAGCCAGATTGATCGGGGAATATAAATTTTGGAGAAAAAATGTTACGAGACGGACGGACATTTTACCGTCAATCGATTTTTTCGGTATCAAGGACCCACAAAACATGGATTTTAGCTACACCAAGTGTTAGAGGAATTTTTTATAAATTTAGCAACTGGATTTATCCACGTTTTTGTTGTCAAGGTCCAGCAATAAAGAGTTTTTCTGCCGAAAATTCGCCGCATTTTCCCGCAGCATGACATAACTTTCTCTCTACTGCGGTAGCGGTAGCAAGAAATCAGAAAGCCTTCCTTAAAACGCAAACCAAGAGTACCCTGTTTGCTGTTAGAGAAAAATTTCAAGACTCGCGAGAAATCGTAATGATGATTTTGGACGTTCTATAATATATTGCGTAGAGACAGTAAATGACCTGGTAGCTGCTGATGCACGGTTTTGATGTACATGAAAGCACTGCAGCAACCCCCAAAGACAAGAACATAAATTATAGACAGATCCTACAAAGATGAGGTACCTAGGGCGTTTCAAACAGCTTAACTTGAAGAGTTTTATTGCAGCACAGGTCAAAACCGAATTAGACGAAGTACATGTGGCTTAGATGAAGTACAATGCACCACCACTGAAGACTATTTTCTTCTGGATTGAGTTCAAACATGGTTGCAGAAACTGAATAGTTACTGAAGATGAAACGCAACCTGCGAGTCCGGACGAGGTCACCACACCGAAAACCATGGAAAAACTTAACAATCCGGTAATGAAATATCCCAGAGTGAAAGTGCGCGAGATAGCTGATACTGATAGCATCTTAACTGAATGAAACCTGGATCCACCACTACACTCAGGAAACCTAAATAGATTGAAAACAGCAACAAAGGCTGGTGAGAGTGTGCCAAAGAAAAGGAAAGTCAGTTTTGTCAGCAGGAAAGGTGATGGCCACTGTTTTATGAGCTTTTCAGGGTATACTTATAGATTTGGAGGAAAAACAAAACAAAACAAAAACAACAAACCATAACTGAACCCTATTTCGCAACATTATTGGATCGTTTAAAAAAGGAATTGATTGAAAAACGGCCAAGATAGTAATGTTTCACCATAAAAATGCACCAACTCACATATCAACAGTCACAGTGGCAAAAGTGTATCAGTTGGCTTGGTTCCTCATCTACCATACTCATCAAATTTAGCCCTGAGCGACTACTTCTTATTCCCCAACTTAAAAATTTGGCTTGGAGTACAGACATTTTAATCATAAACAGAAGTGATTGGTGCTTAACTCTGTATTTTGCAGTTTCACTAAAAACATATTTCTCCATGGGATGAAAAAATTTGGGAAACACACTAAGACCAAATGCATAGTATCGTAAGGAGGGGACTAATGTTGAAAATAAAGGTTTGTTGCGTACTTTGTTTTAAGAGAGAGGGGGGGGTTTCCCACTTCCAAAAATAGTTAATGCACATCTTGAAAAGCATGGGAGCGATATATTGGTGTCACCAAGTATACCGTATGTTGTTTGTTTCAAGGCTTTACAGATACACTGTGCGAGCAAATACATCCCTACTGATTCAGTGAGTTTCAGAGTATTAATCATTTAACAATGACAATAATTTGTTCACAATAGTTGTTTTCAAACATGATGAAGTGAAACTAGAGACCTGCCGCAAGACAAGATGGCTGGAAAGAACTATTCTCATGTTTGGCCAGAGACCCAAAAAGTATCAGATTTTCAGCACCCCAACAGTTTATCAGAAAATTAAAGTTCATGTATGTATTTTGTATAACATTTTATCGCCTTTAATTTTGTAAATAACAATTATTTTGATAAACACATAGTTTTGAAGATAAAAGCAAAAAACTAAAAACAGCGAACTTTTAAGAGTTTTTTGCAATTCTCTCAGTGATGCCAACCTTTTTGAAGTGGCAAACATCAAACTCGATATTCAGCACCCTTAAAAACATATTCAAGAACCATTAAGGAAAAAAACTTCTGGAATGTTTTCCTGAATCTAGCCCTTTTGCACACCACACCTTTACTGGACGACATTTCTGTACTGTATGGCAGTAGTAAAGTAAAAATTGTTTTAGAAATAAATGAACACATAATTTTTTTTATCTGTGTGTATTATACCATAGTTTATGCAACTATTATGTGTAATCCATAACAGTTTGCATTGTATATATTAAACAATTTGTTAAGTGATGTTAGGAGTAGAATGCAAATTTCATACCAAAAGAGTACCAACTGTTTGATCAAAATATTGGTGAAGATTTCTTTCATTATTACTAATTACATAGACTTTTGCATGCATGAAATATCAGTCAAAAACATACAAGAATTCAGCCTGTTTAAAACAATGAATCGAATTAAGGAAAATAATAACTTTTTTGTAACTAAGTCCTCAAAAGTAAGCCCTCAAGGTAATTTTAGTGGCAAGTGTTTACAGTGGCAGCCTACCACTTCAACTACATATGGCATTTTAAAAACATGATAATCTGTTTTACTACTATCCAGTGTCACATCAATATGAAACCTTTGTCTCTTCTGCCAAGAATCAGGCTCATTACCTGTCAAATCCACAGGTTGGCCACTCATTACCTGGCACAAATTTCCTTCACTTTTCCTATTTTCCTGTTCACTTTCCAAATTTTTCTTTTGTAATTCCACCTTACTTTAAGAAAATATTAAAGCTACATTATACTAATAGGTAAGTTCTCTTATTTAGTAGTAATTACACATACTAATTAACAATATTTTCTCACCAAATAAAAATTGAACAAAAAATAATGAATTCATGTTTATGAAGAATAATATTGTTATATAACCCTCTCAAAGTTTTCCCTGACATCTAACAATGCTGATTGTTAGATGTTGATTTTTCCCAATTTCCCATTTTTTTCAGAAAGAGGCCATGATGCAAGTTATTTGTATGTGAGCTGCTGATTTTCCACATTTTCCCTTTATAATTTATTAACTTCTCAGTATTTTCCATGCTTTCCTATTTTTCCAAAAATCAGACATCCTGTTCCACGAGGTCAAAGTCAAATAGTTGAGAGAAATGTTAAACTGTTTGTTTAGCTTTGAGATTTCTATGGACATTTAGCATCAATTAGCTTTTATCAAAACTATATCTGAATATTTCAGAAGAGTTGTAACAGAGAAATCATGTTTTCCACAATAGCTTTGGTACAATACTACCCTTTCATCGATTAAAAATTTAATCTTTTGTCCATTCTACCAAAAATGTTAGCTCATTGTAATCAATTTTCACAAATTCTGCTCTTCTGTTACCACTGTTAAAGGCAATTAAAGTAATATTTACAAATCATTCAAACAATTGAAGTATTTAAAAAACTATGGAAAGAGGTACATTTCGAAAAAATGTTTCATTCAGAGGAAGTCCAAGGCAGAATGGAATAGAAAAGTACAAAGTGATCCGAGGAGAGAGAGAGAGAAAAAAAAAATTATGAAAGGGAAGAAGTACAGCAGAACCCCTTATGTACAAACCCCTTTAACCCCTTCTTCCCTCAAAATCTTAATTTCTATTTGATGATGACCCAAGCACTTGTGGTACTTCATATTCTCAAATTAGCATGCAGCAAATTTTCTAATGTAAAAAAGTTGTTTTTTCTACAATAACTTATGTAGATACATATATACATACACACATGTATTTTTTCAACGTAAATTTATGTTCACTTATTTTTTATTTTACATCTGATTATTCAACCTTCTTTTTGTACCGACCATGACCCAGTCACACGGGATATGAGAGGTTCAACTCAAGTGATAAAAGGCACAATTGACTGTACTACGAGTCAATGTCATGTTAATAATTTATCAAAAAAATAACTCACAACTTACCACTGTCAGGTATTTCCAAAGTAAATGTATCTTCCATTGTTTTCAGAATATCATTCCAAACAATTTTCCAATATATTGTTAAAACAGGAGCATCCAAATGTTCAAGCATTTTTTTTGTTTTTGCAACACACCCAGTTACATTGAAGGTAATTTCAAAGATATTATTCAAACTGTCCTTTAATGGAAATAAAATCTCTTTCATTTGAGATAATAAATTTGAATAACTTGAAATTCCTGAAATCAACTGCATAAAATCTCTTTTTCGTGACAGTTCTCTTCTCCATGCCCCAAGCTCTTTTTCAAGAGCTTCGCTTTCAAATTTAATAATAATGCTTTGAAAAAGTCTTTCCTGAAAATTAGAAGTAATCTTTTGTAAACATGTAAGAACACTTGTCACTTGCACATTCTCTCCCACATCACACAAACACAAGTCATACAAAACAATTCAATACAGTGCCTATCTTTCCACCCTCAACAGCAAATCACAATAAGAATCTCAGGATTGACTCACTCACAAACTATTGTAACATGAATTCTGGGACCTGAAAACCAGTTACAGGGCAGTTTGTGATTTTTCTCAACTGCAAACTCAGTTTTGCAGGAGCAAGAGAAGAAAGTTTCCTTGATGCTCCTGAACGACTCAAAAGTTGATCAAAGATGTGGCATAGGCCAATTTTCTAAAATAATAACTACCTATCCGGTTTAAAACATACATGCATGCCCCTCACATGTTCATTGCCTGTGCATGCTCACTCCCTCGCACATATTGATATTCTACTCAAAAGATTCCTCATATACAAATAAAGTACAGGTGACTCTGGTTAAAGTGTAGTTAAAATGAACTTAAGTCACTTTCATTATATTACAAACTGTTTCACTTATATTACAAACAAGAAGATTCGGTTATAGTAAACCTAAACCTCGACTATAGACAACTTCAAAGTACAACATTCTGGAAATTAATTCCCACCTGGAAAAGAATTTATTGGCTCAGTGCCTCAAAATCCAACACTAGGCAGTTTGAAAAAAAATAACAGCCAAAGGTCATAACTGAAGAAGTCTCCTCTGAGGTGAAGGTAGCGACCCAGAATGGGGACCTTACTGATGACCTTATGCCATTCAGTTTCACTGTAGAAACAACACCTGTGTCTTGCATAGTCTACAACCAGTGGCGGTGAAACGCGATTGCTTGCTTCAGATTCAAGCTTGGTGTTACTTGATATTCGGAGGGAGAAAGTGTGTTCAGTTCTACTTAGGGAAAAGGAAGCACAGGAATGTCACAGCCTGGTTAAATCCGCCATGCCAGGCAGAAAAGCGATTAGTTTCATTAGCCGCTTGCGCCATCCCGCTACCGAAAGCGACTTGTATTATATAAGGCGAGTAAAAGGGCCTTTGGAGAGTGGGATGGTGTTCCAACAGTGCATGAGGCATTGAAGAGTGTCAAGACTGCATTACAATACTTAAGACATTGAGAACAATGCAGCAAAAAGTATGGAGAGAGCAGAAAATCTGGAGAAAGATCTAGAGAAATTACTAATGAACAATGAACAAAGCAAACAATTGATGTTTTTAAGGACAAATAAAGATATTGAAATTGTCAGTTTGTGCTGTCTTTAGAAGTTCACTATAACTGGAGTTGACTGTAGATACGCCACAGAAAAGAAAAGGGTATTAGTGTGTTGTTTCTAATGTACTCTCAGAGGTGTATAAATATACATTTGAATTTTAAGATTATCTTTCTCACACATAATCTTCAGAATTCCTTGACAATCCCAATGACAATTCACTATTCCTAATTATTTTTCATACCATTCAGTGAAAATATATATTTATTATTTCTGTCACTCCAATTCTTTTTTTCATAAGTAATTCAAAAGCTATTATTAGAATTCATTTAGAATATTGGAACATAACACTAACCTATTGCCATCATTTAATATGACGTAGGTAATTAACATCACATTTTTAACCCTCTTCATTTTCAGTAAAAAGGCACGCCCCACCTCAAAATTTTCTCCATTCATGTCAGTATTACAGTAACCAAAACAATTACCAAGTCGGTTGATTTGATTGTGCAATAATTTTGAAATATTTTTAAATACCTTTGAAATCAATAAAAAAAAACTTCTTATATATAATTACATTAACTATTCTTGGTTAAAATTTCGTATACGGTACACCCTTAGAGAAGCGTGGTGGCGGGGCTTAAGCCCTAATTACTGTACGTGCTCTAATAGAAATGAATAAAACTTACGAATAGGCGATTTTCATGGTTCGCCCTTCATATGCTTTGTCCCTGCCGCCTTATAATGCACATTTACTTTCAAAGGCACATTTTCTCGCTTCGCTTGCCTGGATCCAAGTCAAGGTGTGGCTCGGGCCTTCGGCCCTCATGTTCACTATAAACATCCTTGAGACTTTCCAATGCATTATTACCAATTCACTTTTATAAGACCTCACTTTTCAAGAAAGCTTCCAGAATTCTAACTGCCTAGTTAAAGCCAGAACAGCGCGAAGTGCCGATTTAAATGACTTCCTTAAGTTGTACTGTATACTTCACTTCAGCCCTGTTATTTTATAACCAACAGACATACTGTAGCATTAGCACAACATGGAGGATAATATTAGTCGATATTCTCCAATTTAATTATACTATATATTTTGACAGTCAATCAAATAGGACCTGGTAATCCATTAAAGAGCTTTAATCCCAACAATCACATCATAATGGAGCTCCTTATTGGATAATTATGTACAATTGACCAAACATTAGAAGTCATTGTAATTAAATTGAAGTGTAGTCTCCCGTGCTACAAGCCTCCATAATGGCTACAAGATTGCCTACCCTATTTAAATCATACATTTAAAAAAATACTTCTAGGGGATAATTAAATTTTGAAATTGCTGAAAACTATGCAGAAAAGTAACAAATTATATATGTGTCAACATTATTTGAATAAAAGGTTCTTTCTCCCTTCAAAATGAATTTAGTTTCTTCTTAGAACAAGTCACAAGAAGAAAATGTTTCAAATATGACATTCAATATAAAATGTCAGCTTTTGTTAGAAATCAATTCATTTTCAGAATTTAGTAGATTTTAAGATTTTACCTCTTCAATTTCAAACTGGAAATCAAAACGAATATAATCTAATTCGCCCACTCCGCGATAAACGCGAATTTTCATGTCTATGTCAAAGCGTGTCACTGAGACAAAATTGATTCCAGCGTAAACGGTAGAGAGCTGTGAAAGATGTTTTTCTTTCTTGTAATCCAATTCAGTGATACGTGTGTCAGCATCATCTTCATCAGATCTGGGAACATCCACAACAAAATCTACAATTACAAAAATATTTTTTGGTTTAACCTTATTTGAAAAATTCAATTAATATGAAGTCTTCCCACATCTCCAGTATATCTAATTGTTTCAAAACAATGCAAAATACAAAAGTAAAAATATTTGTAAAAAAAAAATAACAAGTAAAGGTTATTACAAATTAACTTGCCAATTCATTTGATATGAAATTTCCATCCAAAGGAAAATACACTACTAGTACTTACTCAAGATTAAAGCAGTGCTGTCTCTTTCCTTTAAGTGAAAGCTCAATCTGAAGTTCAACTATTTCTTTCTCTAGTAGTATGTTGTCATAAGTTAAATATTCTAATGTTTTCTTTAGTGCTGTTTTTTTCGACATTTTTTTTAACTGAACTGTCAAGACAAACGAAGACACTACACGCTGAAATCTGATTTAAATTATCTCAATGGAAAACTAGTTATCCACTTTAATATGTAACATGCTGGTAAACAAAGTGGACACATGTATTATCAATTCACGTGAAACACTTTCACCGATTGAATTGTATCGTAATAGGTTTCTACTGACAGCGGACGCGAAAGCAGCGCTGACAGCGGACTACGCGCCCATTCGCGCCGCGGAGCGAGGATGCGATTCTAAATCGATTCTTTCGAAGAACGATTACGAGCAGATTAGGGAGTTTGTGTTCGCCATAGCGTTAGCACTATCTCTTTTCTGCGCATACTCAGATGTACTAAAGTGGTGCGAAATCTAAACTACGCATGAGCAGAAGATCGATAGAACTTTAACGTCCGAGGTGGCACAAACTCCCTGTCGGCTGCATGTATTTACTCCATGGCACGAAGTCCGTGAAAATGCACCTTGAAACGTAAGTTGGTAATACTGTAAGCGCGGGAATACGCACTGTATACGCAGAGAATTAAGCAACATGGAGTGATCCAAACAGGAAGCTCTTTTTGGCTGTCTCTGAAAGTTAGCAAGAGTACCGTAGATATACACCAATATTCACTTTCATGGTAGAGGTCTACCATCAACTTGGCCCACTTGTATCGAGGTAATTTCATTATTCGTCTATTGAAAAATTCAATTTTGCTTTTTGACCTCGGTTCTCTCTGGTGGTTTTACTGTGATTTTATTGTCCGCAGTGATAGTTACAGCTTTTATTACTATTAGGAGATAATGATTTGTGTTTTTAGTGTCCATCATGGAAAACAAGGAAAATCGTAAAATGAGGCAAAATAAGTTTCAAAACGTGTCATCGCTGGCAGACATTGAGCAGGAAAATCGTGTCACGATTTCGTACATAAAGGAAAGATGCCCAAAGGAACGAGAACTTAATGGTAAGTTAATGTTTACGTGTTTTTAAAGAAAATTTCTTTCCTTCGTGTACATTTCCTACATGTTTTCTAGGTGTTTTCTATTAACTTTTAAAATCAATTTTTTCTTCTCTGTTTTTTATTGCTTCTGTTGATTGTTAAAATTATTCTGGTGTTTCAATACCAATCTACATTTTACTGCATCGTCCAAAATTTCAATATCTCTTTAATTCACCGAATAAAGTAAATTATTTGGTGACTAAAGTGTCTATTAATGAAGTCTGTATATTGGGAAAATGCTACAGCTCCACTCTTAAAGATGACAATTCTTAAACAAGTAATTCAGTTTTCCTCTTGTGACATTCTTAACTATTCAAATAATAGAAGACAGCCGCATGTTAATTTTGGATGTTTTCTTGTAATATACATTGTGTGCATACAATCGTACAAACTGTTTAGAAGACTGGAAATCCATATAAACTCAAGCACATGACAACAGATGTTTTTTGACTCAAACATTTGGCTAGTCAAATGGGTAGCAACTCTGACAAGAATGAACATGGAGAAAAAGTTGTATGGACTGACTAAGGTGATGCAAACAAGAAAAGATGCACCATTCATTAATGAATATAAAACAGCTTATGGTGAATAGTTCCAGCAGATAAACACTAGGTAACATTGCAGAGATCTTCCTCATACAGGACACTTGAATTTGCAAAAGGCTTATAAGAAACCCTGGCATAACAGACGAAGAAGAACTTATGTGGTACTCACCAGTTTCAAAATTATTATAGAAATTTCATTACAGAAAACTCAAACGATTGTGAAACATTGTAACATGAAACTGGTTGTATAAGTGATAGTTCGTATTGTAAATCAAAATTCGTTAATGGAAATAATAATTGTACTAATTTGTTCCTATTATTAAGTCAGTTTATTTATTGAGAGCTAAATAAAGATTTACAAATGCAGGCACTAAAATAATGGAAATAGTGAAAATTTGTCTTCACCATGTATTCAATAACTCCTTAACATTTCAACAAATACTGAGTAGAACCTGCCATAACTGAAAACAATTATTTTTAAAGTTAAGAAAACATACGCATAGTCAACCCAAGGTATTTGTATGATATATTATTAAAGAATGTTAAAAGTTTAATATACATTATTTTCACATTCCTGAAATAATGTTTATTCTTTTCTTGTTTCAAAATCTCTCTATGCTTCTCCTGAAAAAACACTCATTTTGACTTGTGGCAAATCTTCCACTGGGAGTGCAATATTATGTAAATATTTATTTGATTTCTTTTCATCAAAATCTGAATAGGGTAAGGTATAAATTCGCGCATGTTTTCTTGATCTCCAGGATCCCTTCCCCAACTTCTTAATATAGACCTATGGGGTTGAATAACAAAAGTACCAACTATGCGAAGTTAGCAACAATTGAAAGCCATACATTTTTGTTCCCGAGAAAACTTATTGCAAAACGTGGTGCATCAGTAAACAAACTGTAAATTTAATTTTATGGTATTGCTAAGAAAATTGTGACTCACACCCCTTGGCTCTACTTCTAATACAACTTGCAAAATAAGTGGTCATGTCAGAATTTGCTCAATGAATCAGGGAAACTGGATGAAAAACCTGACTGAGGTAGGGTCATTGACCCAGAAGCTGAAGTACATTACTTGCTAAAGACTATTTAAGATTATACACTTCACCAATTCTCTGAACATTGTTAAAATAAATAGTATTTTCCTTCTTGATTATCAGTATGATCTTTAATTGTAGAGAAACGGTTATACAATAGGAAAGATTTTACTTGGTCCTTAAAATTGTGTATTGATTTTAATTGTTTAATGTCATCTGGCAAAGTGATGCAGGTGAATGTGGATTCGGTTGCAGGTTTCGTGTAGTGAGCTATTGATATTGACACTTCACAAATGTTTCCAATTGAGCATTCAGATTAGTAGTCTGTTTATTAGACAGCTTCTATGACAAATGAATGTCGCCGAAGACTGCATTGCTTTGTTAAATATATTCTTCAGCTGAGATGATCAGGTGGCTGTCTTTTTTAAGTGAATGGAATTTCTTTTTTTGCAGATTAGAAATAGTTTTTAAATGTCATTTTATTCAGCTATTGTTGATGAAAAATTGTTCAAATTTATATAAATCATTTCAAATTGTTGTTGAGAACATATGAATGAATAAAGCCATCGGACAGAGAATGATGTTGAATATACCGCAAAACCGCCATGTATGCCTTGTGAAAACTATTGGAATTCTGTTGGTACTTTTTGATTGTGCATGCTCAGAACTTTCAAATTAATGTATGTGCAGTATAATGTTTTGCAATTATGACAATTTATATTTAATTTTCACATGGTTCTTCTTGTGCTCTGACATAGCCATCTTCTATCAGCTCTTTAGCACTCATAGTTTTGCCTTGGCTCTTTAATTACAACAGCCCAATTTTTTTAACTTCTGCTTTTCTTGGCTATCTTTTAACACTTAGTTATGTCAAGTCTTCTTCCACCTCTCATTCCATCATAATCTAGGGCTACCACTTCCTCTCCCACTGGCCATGCTCCCTATGTATACCTTTCTAATGTCATGTAATACCATTCTAAATTCATTCAAATTAGATGATTCAACCATTCCATTTTTTTTCACCTGTAACTATTTTGGTTGTTTCTACTCTTCCAATTCTGTGATGGGTCAACTTCTCCAGATTGGATTTTATTTGATCGGCCAAATATTCTTAGTAAGATTTTTCTTTCCCGAGTCCGTTTCACTTTCATACAATACCACTGGCTTAATGATGGTTATATACAGTTTCAGCTTACAATTTTTTGAAATTCAGGTTTTAAAAATTTAGTAGAGACCACCATAATATTTATTACCTGCTATTCTCTTCTTAATGTCCTGCTCTATGACGCATTCTGTAATTAGAGAACCTAAGTATTCAATGATATGCACCCATTCAATATTTTTGTGTACTAGCTTCATATATTTTGGTTTATTGATACTTCTTCTTGTTCTCATATATTTTGTTTTCTGTTCATTTATTTCCAAACACATTCCTTGTGCTCCTTTGATCAGTTGATGCAACGTCTTTCTGGGTTCTTCTAATTATCACCACGTCATTAAGACAAATTTTGCACTGTTCCATTCAAAATTGTTCGCGATAGAGTTTGATCTCATATACCATCACTGTTACTCTATGCTTATCCAGGGTCCAGGTTAAACAAAATAGATTGATAGTTTCATCTCCTTTGATTTAATCTAGGTTTTGTGCCATACCTTAAGATATTTTTCCTGGAACTTAATTAATATTAATTGAGTCTGGAAGGGTTAATATGTATCAATCTTACACTTTAAACGGTTTAAAAGATTCAGAGTTCACTACAACCAAATCATCGTGTGCTTATTTGTAATGTAAGTGAAGTGGGACTAGCGTCTTTATTTCATTATAACCAAGAGTTCACTACAGTCATGAGTCAACTGTTTACATAAAAATTGTTTTTTTCTGAGAACTATAATAAATTTCACAAGCAACTTGTTTGGGCAGACATATAAAAAAACGGAAAGTTATGTAATGATATGAATAAGGAATCGACAAAATCTTCCTTCACATCAGCCAGTTTCCTTATCTTTTTCTTATATCTGTTATTTTCATTTTGCAATTTTATTAAATCTTATCTTTTCAAATTGTCACTCATGCTATTATAAGCTCTATAAGTATGACTAGTATTTTATTTCTTTGATATCTCCAACATAATTTGTCGTTTTCTTGTTTTAAGGTTACATAATATTCCAGAAGAGGTTTTCACTCCAAAAAGAATTTTCTTATAGATCAGATTACAGAATATTTGCAAAGTAGTTCAGACATGTAAACGTGAGTTGTACCAAAATTTAGAATCAAAATGTTTGTTTTCTCTCTTTCTCTCTGTCTCTCTCTCTCTCTGCATCTCTCTCTGTCTCTCTCTGTCTGTCTCTCTTTCTCTGTGTCTCTGTCTGTCTCTCTCTCATCTGCACTATTTAACAGAGGAAAACATGTTTGAAAATCATCCTGATTTGTATTAACCTACAGAATTTTTCGAGAAGAAAATTGTTCTCAACAACTTATAATTGAGAATGGAGTGAAGATTATTTTGACGAGATATGGAGCACCTACATTAGAAACACTTAAGTTCTTTGTATCTTGCTCTATTGTATGCGGCCTCTGTGGATGGACAACCATATTTTAATGCAATGCCCAAAGCATCTACTGTTGATTATTTCCATTACTTTTCTACTGACAATGACTATGATAAATTCCATTGATCTTTCAGTAACTAACATGAGCTAAGATGTAGACATCCTACAATCTGACAGTGGTACACAAATATACGGAAAATTCATAAAGAAGAGAAAGAAACACAATTTTAATGTCAAAACGGTTTGTAGTACGTATCAAATGAATAGAACAATTTTTGTAGATAATACATAAACCTTCTTTCTTGTAATCACCTCAATTAACCTCCAAGCCATAAAAAACAAGATTTTTGCAAAAAAAAAAATTGTGACCTTTGATTTTCAATGACTTTTTGGCTGGGCTGCTATTGTCTATTTTTAATATTTAAAACAACAAAATAAAGCGATTTAAAAAGAAAATCTTTGATACCATTTTCAAAACAAAAAAGCTATGACCGGTCTATTCCGTAACATCATTAGAGGCCGGACTTTTAGAGACAAATGTTTCCCAATTTAGGTGGAAAAATATTAAAATTAAGCGCATGTTTAGGTGCAAGAAATGAAAATTGCTGCATGTTTAGGTGCAAGAAATAAAAATTGGTGCATGTGGTTCAAAATTTTTTGTCTAGTTTCTCATGTTAATATTTATATTAGCTGCAATTGGTATTCATTATTTCATTTAAAAGCATATGAGCTTTTAATGATGTCTCATAAAATTTCTTAAAAAGTCAAAAGTTTTTGTGAAAATGAGCTAAAAATTCTGCATTTTCAAAAATGTTCAAACACTATTTTCTCAAAAACAGCTCCAAATTTTTTACATTAGATTGTGCTAATTGCACTCTTTAAGTTGACATATAATTAATATTGCTGTATGTGTTGTTTAATTTTTGTTTTGTTTATTTTCCAAATATACTAAAGAGAGAAAGAGAGAGAGTGTGTGTGTGTGTGTGCGTGTGTAATCACACCTTTAATATTTAATATATACATTTCCATTGATTTGTATACAATGAAAGTGCTTAAAATTACTTTCAAATCTATCGTTAGGAAATCGAAAAATTAAAAAATTTCAAAAAAACATACTGGAAGGATGATGAGTAGGGCAAGACAGGTTGTTTTTTTTAGCATCTTTTGTTGTTGCATCTTATTACCTGTCATGGTCCCTTCTACTATATATTTATTTGATAATTGAAATATTACTTTGATTAGTTTCTTTTAATTTATACAATGTAACTAACAACAAAATTTCAATTATCTATGGACCCCTTTCATTTCATTACTTTGCATAATAAAAGTCCTAAGTCCTATTACATTTATATACTTGTTATATTTTTTTATCATTGAATTTGTTTGTTTCAGCTCTAAAAGAAGAGTTTGAACAGATAGAAAGTGCAGAAGAGAAAATGAGGCAACAATTTACTGAAAAACAAAAAAATATATTACAAATCGATGAAGACAATACCTTTCGATCCAATGCTTATGTAAGATTAATTAAAAAATATATTTATGTGCATATTATGAAACTAATCTAAGCAGTTTACAAAAATTGTGTAATTTGCTTAGGGATTGCAGGAGGTATTAATGAAATCAGTTGAGAATTGGTAAATATGAGCATATAATTGTGGTAATAAGTAATTGTTGAGTAATGTTGAGAATAAGTCATTATCAGAGTTTTTCAAAATGTGTTTTTTTTCTTATTCCTAGTTTAAGACTTTTAACAATAGGAATTACTTAAATGTACATGTGGTTGCTGTGGTGAGTTTTTATTTTGCATTATTTGTGCGTTTTTCCACATTATTAGCAGATTACAATTTTGCCTTTTTTCCTTATTTTAACTTCTGAGGCCATTTTTTGCCTTGTTCCTCATTTTGTTTACAAGCAGACCCTGTGATTAAATGCTATCAAAAGCTGATGCAAACAGAAACAGCACATATTGTTATAAAAATCTAAATGAAAGAGAAAAAAGATACTAATAGAGTTTTTTTGATTGATGCCATCAGGTTTTTGAAGAGATAGCTTGACAAGAAAAAGAAAAGAGTGTGAATAATTGTTAATGTTGTTCAATTTTTTTTGCATGTGAGTTTTCATTGTTTACACGCTTCATTGCACCCTTACTTTAGGTAAAATAAATGCCTGAACTATGGGGCTTTAAGCATTATAGCTATTTACAAGAATTGTAAGTTATAGAGCAGTGTTGTGAGAAAAAGATAATGCCAGTAAGAAAATCTTGTGAGTTACATGTTAACATTTGATTTCTTGGCAAATGCTTATTTTACTCATTTGATTGATTATGAAAACATCAACTTTGTGCAATAACAACCTTCACATATCCCATAATTGTAGAATCCCAGATTATCCTGGTTGCACACTGCAACAAAAGAGAATAAAACAATAAATAATGCCCGCTCTCTTTATTCAAGCATTAAAATTTGCTGTTGCAGGTATTGAAATATAAGGACCATTTTGTGGATAAAAAATGTTTCTCTGCTAAAAATATTACAATGTAAAAAAATAATTTTCATATCAACTTTTCTGCCTATTTAAAAAATTATAATCTACTTTTATCTTTTAAGAGCCTATTTGAGGCACCTAAAAGAGGAGATTTGTAGAGGGTAAAAAATCAATGTCAAGAGGCGTCATCAAATTTTCAAAAACTACATGCAAGTTCATTGCTGCATTAATGCAGAAAAAACCAAAGTTGCGACCACATTATTCAGGGTTGTAATTGTTGTTTTATCTTGTATTAAATTAATGTAGTTGTAAGAATTACAACAAATTTTTTAAGTAACCTTTTTAAAATCTCATTCTTTTTTATTTTACGCAGAAAAATAACAAGGATCATGAAAAGCAGTTGAGGAAAAGTGTTCACTCTCTAAAAAATGAAATTGGCCTGTTAAACCGTGATCCTCTAACCGAAAGAGATCAAGAGAAATTATTGATATGCAAGTAAGTTAATTTCATGTTCATAAACTCCAAATGCTGTCCTTATCTCTTGTAATGTGACTGTTGTTTTAATTATGTATTTTTATGTGATTTATTAGGAAGAAGTTGGTGTGGTATGAAAAGTGCACTGGAGTTTTTTTTGATTTTTCAAGTAAAGATCCAATTAAAGGGCGTATCCTTTACATTCACATGTATTGTGGGTTCCTCGTTCTTAAGTGTTGTTTCAGTAAAATTTCATTTATACCTTTTCCAGGGGACTGAAGGGAAGATATTTATAAGTTAGAAAAATGCCTAACTAAAACGGAGGAAAAACCAGGTGCAAAATAAAAACTCAATATTTTGACAATAATGTTATGTAAGAAAATTATTGCCATTTATTGCGTACAAGTAGACCAAATGTTTATTGTGCAACGTAGACAAATCTTCAGCAAAGCCATCCTGGGCAGCAAGTGAACATTGCGGAAAGCCTTACAGTCAACACACAAACATTATGCGAAGCGGTCACTATTAATTTGTCATTTGCCTTGCTACTTGAGGTTTTATTCAGTCTTCACAGGTCCTATCAGGTTCTAATAGAAGGCTGACAGTGTAACATCTCAATTATTGTGTCATAGTTACATACCATCAACGTCCCGTTGACCACTTCTGTGAGAAAATATAGCTCTCAATAATTTATTTTCAGACTTCTGTCTTACAGTTCACGTTACAACTTCATAACCACAAGTTATTACTGCTATTAAATCTAATTTACCATGCATACATTTGCTAATATATCTAGCTTATCATGCATACATCTGCAGCCCCACAGACCTACGAATCTTTTGAAATGGTCACCACAAACCATACTGCAATTAGGCGTAAAAAGTGCATCTGAAATTATTTAATAAGTGAAGCATAGGACTTAGCTGAAACTTATAAACAACAATGCTTAAATATGAACTAGTGGTGCTACAGAATGGCACAGACTTTCCTGTGCTAGTTTTCTATTTCCTTTCGTCTCGGCTAGCTATTCGAACTTGCCACATATTATTGTCTGCTGCCATCTATCTCCGGTCAAAGTACATTGTGAAATTTTCATAATTTTTCGTTTTCCTAATAGTAGAACAGAAATATTATTTTATGATAATTAAAGAGCAGTAAAACCTCATCCTAAATGGCAATTTTCTTGGGAACATTTGAAGCATTTTTTAAGAAAATGGTGCACTACAGTAAATTCAAAATTTAAAGCACTTTTTCACAGAAAATTTTTGAGTTTTCGAAAAACTTTATTAGGGATCATTTGAAGCACTTCAACTCACAAATACCATAGTGCTTACAAATTTCTGGAAATGTGCATAATACCAACGTGATCTTGCAAAAAAATTACATTTGTATGATTTTTGGAAAAAAAAACAAAAATGAAATGAACTTAACCTAATATTAAAGAGTGCAGTTAGCACTATTCTTTCAAAATCCTTGAAGAAAAAATTTGGTGCCATTTTTGAGAAACTAGCTTTTCAGTGTTTCTGAAAATGCAAAATTTTGAGCTAGTTTTGGCAGAAAACTGTGAGTTTTCAAGATGCTTTTTGTGACATTAATTAAAGCACATGTACTCATGAATATAATGTGAACTAATTGCTGCTAATGTTTATATTAAGGGCATGAGAGACAAGTCAAATAAATTAGTTTTCTACATTTTGAAAACAATAGTAGTATGGTGTCATCTCAAGAGTCATACCATTTTTTGGTATCAGGAGACCCAAAAAAGTGTATTGCCGTTGAAATCTCGAAATTTATTTTCCATAGCTTTACATAGTACAGAAAGTTATTTAATGCTGTGGAAAATTGATTTAGGGATTTCAATGGAAATACATGTTTTTGGGGGGCCATGATACCGAAAAAGAATTTTTTCAAAAGGGTCGTCTGCTATTTATCAACATTAATGCCTACGCTGTGTGTAGATTTTTTTTCCAAATCGCGCCACAAAAAAAAAGCCCATTTGGCCTGAGTCGAAGCTCTGTGATTCAGAATTTTCTCAAAAATGCCCCAAATTTATTTTTTGTATTAAATCTTAGAATAGTGTACAGTTATAAAGGTGACATAGGTCTGATTCTCATGGTTAATTCTAAATTTTCGAAAATTTCAAAAGTATGACATTCTTTCTGTCTGTTTAAAACTTCAAAAATTCAGGATAAAAATTTTTCCTTCAAATGAAATTTTTTGTCCATAATTTGTTCTTTCATTAAGTTCACGTAAATTTTTTGGAAATTTTAGTAGGTTTTGTGCAATTTTAAAAAATTACAAAATCAAGATTTTTATTTTATTTTATTTATTTTTTTAATCAAACTTTTTGAAAGGATTGTGCTCATTGCTCTCTTTAATATGACATAAAGTTCATTTTGGAGGTCTTTGTTTTTTCTCCTTTTCGTTTCAAAAATTGCACAAATGTAATTTTTTTGAAAGTTCTCTCATGCTGTCAATATACACAGGTCTCCCAGGACAAGGCACCTCCATTCCAGGTAAATATGTAGCCGGTGAATGAACGTCTATCATCGAGATTTTTTCCCCAATCTGCATCTGCGTATCCAGTGAGGTCAGCTTGCTCGGTGTTGAAACGTAGACCTAAATTTAGAGTTTCCTTGAGGTACCGAAGTAGCGTTTGGGCTGCTGCCCAGTGACTTGTGCCATAGCAATCATTGCATGGGCTTAGGGCACTGGCAACATGGGATATATCCGATCGAGTTGTGTAGCCACATACATTAGAGCGCCCACCAGCTCACGATATGGCGGTTCATCACCGTCGGACTTCTTCCATTTTCAGACTTAGTTAGCTTGATGCCTACATCCAGTGGCCTAGGGTTGCAATCCAGCATGCCAAAATGTCGATGTATACCCTTTATGTACGTAGTGTGAGTGATGGAGATTCCATCTTTGTCTAATGAAGTCCATGCGTGGGCAATGCTTTAAATCACCCAGTTCGTTCAATTCATATTTTAGGCTCAGGTACTCTGCAATTACTGATATCCTCCTAATTCTGAGATATGACAAGGATATCGTCGACATACTCTACACTGATGAGTTGATTACTATGCTTCTTCAAATAAACACAGGAATGCTAGTCGGTTGGTGATGCGCCGAAGTTGCGAAGCTCGTTGCCCAATCGTTTGTGCCACACTCGACCAGACTGACGCAGCCCGTAGAGAGTTTATTCATGTAACAAACCTCGTTACCCTGGGACAACTTGTCAAGCATATCTTCAGCCTTCTTCTTGATGTCGCGCTTCTTCTGCTCCCTCCAGGTGATCATCTCCAACATACCTACGGTGTATTCTGGTACCTCCAGGTATACCTCCTCTTCCAGGACGTCGTTGAGGTACATTGATTTGTCGAATTGCTAGGTGTGCATGTTTTCCCGTACTGCAAGAGCTACAGCCAATCGAATTGATTTATTTCTTGCAACAGGCACGAAAGTCTCCCGGAAATCCGTACCAGGACGTTGAGAAAAACCTCGCGCTACGATTCTTGCTTTCCTCTTCTCAAGCCTACCATCGACCCCGTTCTTGTTGCGTAACAATTCTGCTTCCGACGACCTCGTGATTCTCTGATCGATCCACGACGGTCCAGGTGTCGTTTTTCAAGATGGATGTCATCTCGTTCGCCATAGCGCCCATCCACTCAGCAGATTTCGCACTAGCGATGGCTTGCCTCAGGAATTTCTGACAAAAATGCGTAGCATCCGTCCGCTTGATCTTGATCGACAGTCATCTCATTGTACTGTTTCCTAAGTCTGCAGGGCTGTCCTGTCTTCACCTTCCGCGGTCTTCCTGGTCCTCGACTGGAGGTCGCCCGTTGGACATCTTCTTCCAGTAAATCTTCGGGCTCAAAACCACGAAAATCGGGTACGGTGCCTGACTGGCGAACTCTCTTCTGACGCGAAACCCCGAAAACCTGTTTCGGAGCCAGATTCGGCACTCTTCGTTTGTCGTGGAGTTCAGTGATTCCTCCGTGCCTGCCGTGATAAAGTCCGTTCGGAGTCAAATCAACGTCAGTGTGCGAACGAGGATAGGTCTCCGTTTTACATACTCGAACTTCTCGCAACCAACGACATCTGGACTGTTGAAGTTCTCCCCTGTGATGCAAGTCGGTAACTCCACAAACTTTACATCCCGGGTGACTTCTACTCGTCTCTCGCTTGGGATCCAGACTGTACCCCTTTGCTTCATCAGAATACCCAAGGAATATACCTTCTCTCGATCGCGGTGCACTTTGTCCTTGTTTGTGGAGCGATCGAGGCAGTAAATCGTACAGCGGAATTTATTAAACGGTTACGTCTGATTGAACACCGAACCAGATTTCATACAGTCTTTCCGCTCAGTTTGCTGCTTGGACTGCGGTTTCTGATGTAGTTGGCCGTACAAACAGCCTCTGCCCAAAACGATGGAGGCAACTTGGACTGTGCAAGTAGACAACGGGCCGTTTCTACCAGGGACCGATTCTTGCGCTCTGCAACTCCATTTTGCTCCGGGATGTGAGGTGCAGTAAGTCTTCTTTGGATTCCCGAACGTCTGAGGGCTTCGTCGAATTTGCGGTTAACGTACTCCGTTCCATTATCTGTTTGAAGACATTTGAACCTCACCCCTTTTGGGTCTCAAGGAGAATTCTAAAAGCATCGAAGACGTCGCTCTTTTACTTCTGGAATTTCACCTCGATGCGTCGTCGATGAACGTCGAAAAGTACCGAACCTTTCCAAGTGATGTCCGTACATGGTCGCACACGTCGGAGAAAATTGTCACCAGTGCAAGATTCTCTCCGATTTCTTTGGGAAAGGTGGACGAGCCATCTTCCCTTGAAGACAGACCTCGCATACGAAGTTACCCTCGACATCATCGAGCTTCAACCAGTAGATAGTTCCCTTCCTAGCTGCTTCGCGAAGATCCTGGATATTCAAGAATGCGGTGCCTTTCTAACAAGGTCTTCTTCGTTTTCTCAGGGGCCTTCATCGCGTCGTTGCTTGCAACACTTCTGCAATCCTTGTTTTGAGATTGAATATAATACAGGCCGTCGACTCTCATCGCCCTGACAGCTACATTTGCCTTTGGATCAACCACTTCTGCTGATGTCTTGGTGAAGGTAACACTGAATCCGTTTTCAGTGTTTTTTCCCACCGAAATTGGTTGGAACGCAGGTCCGGAACGTAAAGGGCATCCTTCAGTCACAC